CTGGGCACCAGCAGGATAGGTACATGTGTGTGGCGTGTGGGGAATGGGGGTCTACCTTTGGCTGTCCTGGAAACAGGTCGGTGATGTGGAACACGAAGAATGGGGCATTCGGTGGGGTGATTTCTTTGAGCACTTTGCCACTACTAAGGTGTCGCATGACCCACCTGAATGGCCGATGGGGGTAGTGATTTGGGCTGGCTTGCCCTCTGGCGACAAGCCCCAACAGCAAAATCACACAGAAACACCTTTGATGCTTGGGTCCCACCCGTGCGGGTCTCTCGGGCGCTGCCTGGCGGCTTGGTGGTCTGTCACTTTCCTCTGGAATGGGGATGTACGCATCACGAGGACGTCCCACGAGCATGTCCGGTAAACAGAAACTCGCAACTCTCATCAGTCTCATTCCGCTCATTGTGAAGGTCGGGCTTGATTGACTTAAGTGGACACCACCTGATTTTGCCGTCCTTTTTGATAGCTGCGTACCCTCGCCCCGTGAGCATCAGCTCGTTTCTGATCACCACCTGTGGGCCCTCCTCTAGCGTTCGGGTGGCCCAGTGCTTTTGAACGGGACTGTTTGTTTCATCTCCCCTAGGGAATTGATTCAGTGTTAGCAAAGCGGTTTCCAGTATACTCGCCTGATCTCCTGGGGGAATGGAATTGGCAAAGCCCTCTGCTTTCACCAACACTTCTAGCTTGGTTTTCAGGGTCTGATTTGCTCCCTCAACTATGGCCTGCCCGGTACTGTTATACAGGATACCTTGCACTAATGTGATGCCCCATTTGTAGGCGAATTCTTGTGCTGGTTTGGAGGTGAAATTGGAACCATTGTCCATTTTTATCTGCTTGGGAATACCGAGCCAAGCCATGGCTGTCAGCCAGCACTGGATTGTGACCTTGGAGTTTGTTTTGGGGTGCTGTGTGGCTATGATCGGTCCACTATAAGTGTCTACTGTCACTGCAAGCCATGCTCGGGGCTTCAGCAGTTGACACCAGGTGAAGTCCAACTGCCAGATCTCTGAAGGCTTGAGACCTCTCAGGTTGACCCCGCAGGTCCATAGGGGTGACTTCTGGCAATGAGGGCAAGTGGCTACCACGTTTCGCGTCCGCTGTTGGGATTCCACATCTCTTGGCCAGTGCTTTGGCTCCGATGTGGAGCAACTCGTGCAGTTGACGAGCTCTTTGCAAGGTCCATACGCCTTTTGCTGCGGCATCTGCTTTGTCGTTGCCAATCTGGAAGTAGCCTTTGACTGGGTCATGGCTGTTGATGTGGATGACTGACATGGTGCCCTGTCGCGAGGAGAGTGCTTCTTCCAGCATTAGGGCTGCTGCAGATGTTGACACTCCTGGTCCTGCCATGGCTAGGCAAAGCCTTGCCATGAATATAGAGTCCATTACTATGTTGAGGTGTTCTTCTTGGAAGAGTCCGCACGCCAAAACCACTGCTGCTGCCTGCAGTTGTTGCACTGACAGTGTGGAGTCACACACTTTGACGCAGTGCCATTGCTCTCCTGCCTGCCACACTGCCGTTACAGTTGAGGTCGTGGAGGAAGCGTCTGTGAAGACCGTTGGTCCTGGCTGCGGTCGGTCCTTGACCTTCGGCGGCATGTCCATTTCGACTACGGTCAGCAGCTGAGTCCAGGGCGGTGTGGCAGAATAGGAGATTTCTCCTCCGAAGCCGGTGAGAGCAAGGGCCAGGTACTCCGATATTGTGGCTGACTCCGTGGTCGGTTGCTCGCAACATGGAAGGTGGATGCTTGTCGGCTCGGTTCCTAGGTGTTTCAAGGCAAGTTTCCTGCCTTTCATGATGAGGTTAGCGATGCATTCGATTCCCGGGGAGAATGCACGAGCAGGTCTTCCGAGGACCACCCATTGGATTGGTTGGGCCTTTTCGGAAACTCCTTGAGCCAGTGTTCCCACTCCCCCCTTAGGTGTAAAGTGGACGTATAGGTCCAGGGGCATGGCTGGATTCCACCTGGCAAGTGTGCCAGTGGTCATCTGGCTTTCGATGAAGTCGAGGGAGCTTGTTGCTTGCGGCGTCAGCTCCTTGGGTTTCCAGGGGTGCTTTCCTTTCAGGAGGTCATATGAAGGGTCCATGACCTCGGGAGGAATCAGGATGATGTTGCGAAGCCACTGCAGCAATCCCATCAGGCGTTGCATGTCATGGAGCGTCTTGATGTCTCGACTGACCTTCGCCTTGGGGGGTGTCACGTAGGAGCTTGTGGTCCCCACTCCCAAGAAGGTCATGCAGGGTCCTGTCTTGATCTTTGCGCTTGCGATCTCGAAGCCGTTGGCCTGAAGGGTTTCCGTGATTGTGGACACCAGGTGATCTACTTGGCTTGCCGATGGTGCTGCGACTAGGATGTCGTCCATGTATTGAATGATGGTCACGGTGGGGTGGGAGTGTTGGACTGGCATCAATGCTTTGTCCACGGTGATTTGACATATAGTGGGGCTGTCTACCAGATCTTGTGGTAATACTCGCCATTGGAAGCGGAGGTTGGGGCGCTCGCCGTTCCGAAATGCCACGGAAAAGGTGAATCGTTCTCTGTCCTCAGGGTGCAGGGGTATCGAGAAGAAACAGTCTTTGATGTCCAGCACTGCGCATGGCTGCCCTGCGGGGATGGTTGTGTTCGTGGGTAGCAGTGTCTGAACTGGACCCATGGGTCAGATTGTCTTGTTCACTTCTCTCAGGTCGTGGATGAGGCGATAACCTTCTCCGGACCTTTTGGGGATCACGAATACAGGGGTGTTCCATGGGCTGATGGAGGGTTCTATGTGACCCTTTTGCAGTTTGCAGTCGACCAGTTCCAGCAAGGCTGCCGCTCGAGGCTCTGTCAGGGGCCACTGCTGGACCCATACGGGGTCTGATGATTTCCAAGTCAATGTGATTGGCAGCGGAGGGTGTACGGCAGTGGCCCTCATGATAAATTTGAAATCCTGACTCCTAGCATAGCAAGGACGTCCCTTCCTATCAGGGGTGGAGAATTTTGCAAAATGCAGGGGTAGATTGCTACTGTCTGTTCTGGTCCCTTTTTCGTGTGAAGTGTTATAGCCACCAGCTGGGTGCTTTTCCATGCCCAGGACTGCCCTCCCACTCCGTTCACTGGAGGGACTTCTTTGAATTGCCAATGTCCGGGCCAATGCGCTTGGGGAAAAATTGTGCAGTCTGATCCCGTGTCCGTCCAAAACTGAAACCCTATGACGTGGGGATCTTGACTGCCATAAAGGCAGCATGTCCCCCACACCATCAGGGGTTCCTTCCCTATTTTCATGGCAAGGGCCACCCAGGGGTCCTGCTCTGGGGCGTCCCCTGCTGGCCCTGTGGCACCGGCGCGGCTTGTGGCGGTGGAGGGTGCGAAAGTATTACTGGCGGTGCTGCACAACTCTGCCATTGTGCTGCTGGCGGGGATGCGAAACTGACTGCTCCCTATGGGGGCATGGGGTATGAGGGTCCCCTGCCCCACTGGGGGTTGCTGTAGCTGGGCCGCTGCATATTCCAGGTGGGAGGAGGGTGGATACGGCCCGGCTGCCCCCTCCCTCTCCCATTTTCCTGAGGTCTAGATCTGCATTCCTTAGCTAAATGCCCCTTCCTTCCACATGCCCAGCATGGTCCCCTAAGTCCCCCTTGGCGTGATGGAGCAGCTGCTGATGAGCGTCTTGGCTGGGGGCAGTTTACTGCCAAGTGGCCTGCCTGGCCACACTTAAGGCACGCCATCACGCTGGTTATTGCAGTGTGAACTGCTGCTTGAATGGGAGCTAGGTGTTCTTCCTTTGCAACGTGTCTGATCATGGCAGCTATATTAGACCCCTGCGGCAGTGATCTTAAAATGTCCTTGGTGACTGAGTTGCATTGCTGGCGTAGGCACTCTGCTACCACAAGACCCTTCGCCTCTGAGGGTAATGCAGAGGAATCTAATGCTGCCTGAAGACGGTCCACAAACTGAGTGAAGCTCTCACTCTCACTCTGTTTTATACATGACCATGGGGAGGTTTTGGCTATTACTTTGGAAGCAACACGGATGGCTTCTCGGGCAGCACGGGTTGTTGTCATAACCTCATGGGCCTGCAAGCCCTCAGCCTGCGCCTGGGGGATGATCATAGTGGGGTCTGCTCCCATTAACCTCTGTATGCTGGAGCTGTGCAGTGGATGGTCAGCTCCCGTTACCAAGGCTAGCTGCTTTATGCAGTCGTCCTCCCACTCTTGTTTAAAAACTATCATCTCTGACCTATTGAAAATCATTCTGCAGGTCTGCTTAATATCAAAGGGTAACATGTCGTCCCCTCCAAAAACACCGTCAATGAGTGTGGAAACCATGGCAGAATTAATTCCCTTGTCTGCAATCGCTTTATTAATTGCCTGCACGTCTTTCGGGTTTACGGGGGAATAGGTCCTTTGATTTCCGCCTGCCGCCCCACACGGACCGGGAACACCAGTGTGGCAGACTGACCCCACTCCGTGCACGCTATTTTTATTTTCCGCCAGTCTGTAAGCGGGGTTCAGTCTTTCTCTGATAACCCCTTCACCCACGCGGGAGCGCTGTGACTAGTGACCTTACATGCCGCTGCTCTCTTTCTCTTAAAACTAGAATCCGAATCAGAATTCTCCAATTCCCTCTCGAGCTCGGAGGTCAAGTCCGAGTCTGAGCTGGAAGTCGACTGGCCGGACGTTTCCGGGCTGCTCACCTGTTTTCTCGGGCTCCGACCCTGCCCCTTCTTGCGGGGGTTGGGCCGTACCCTCTCCCTGGGGTCCCCCCGCCTCCTGCTGGGGGAGGTCCTTGCCCTATAAGGACCTAATTTTAATAGAGCGCTCTGATTGGTCTTATGCTCCTCCGCGGGGGCCGCCCCTTCTCCCCGCTCGCCCGTGCATGCGTTGTTAAGCAGGCTGACTGCATTTCCACCCTCCGTGTCTTCTTTTCCGCCCTGACCATGCGGTTCGGCGCCATTTTCAAACGCATAGGGTGGGGGGGGCATTTTTATCGATCCCTACGGGGTCTGACAATCAGGCCGCGTTCCGCGCCTCCTCCGCGAGCCCCTGCCAGAACGCCTGCGCGTGTTCCCCCCCCCCCCGATGGTGAGTCCGCTCGCTGAGGGGGTTCCGACGTTTGCGCCTCCGTGTGCTCGCCCGAGTCAAAATCCTCCGCAGTTTGCGTCACCGCGCCCACCCCCAACTGAGGGGTGGTCAATAAACAAGCTCGCGCGACTTTCCAGGTTTCTTGCTCTTGTTGAGCTTTTTGCAGAGCCTGGATAACTCTGCCCCACGATTTTAGGGCTTTCCCTGAGCCTGAGGACATAGCTTCCTCGGCCAGAGCTTTTGTACAATTATCCCAAACCCCTGAATGGAGGATATCTATCGGGCTTTCTATAGCCCCAAGCTTAATCAGTCTCGGCAATGCAAGACTTAAATCTTTAATCTTACACTCAATACCCCATTGCGCATGCATCTGAGTTACGACCTTTGCTATGGCCTCCATGGTCCACACTGGTCCAGGGGTGTCCCCCCCGCTGCAGACGGTCCCACCGCTGCAGCCGCCGTCCTCTGTCCAGGCGAATTCCTGTTACCCGAGCTTCTTCCCGGGTGTCGGCACCAGTTGTTGCCTTCTGATACAAGGCAAGGCGACCTGGTTTCGAGGAACAGCACGGCGACCAAACTCTCCAGGGTCGCTCGGGCCAAAGAGCACGCAGACACCAATGTGGTAGCCGGTCAAAGGCCTTTATTATCTCTTCTCCTGGGGTTTTATAGTCTAAGGGCTTCTCTACGTCAGAGGGGGTCTGCAATACCATCTATGGTTAGTAAAAAGTGGAAAGTTACCAGGAGTGGAAAGTTACTGGCATTACTATCGTTAGGGGGGCTACATTCCTAAAGTGATCTCTTATCTTAAGAGATTAGGGGAAAAGGAGTCCTACCACTTTCCATCACATCGTGTGGTCTTCCGATTGCCTGTCCCTATCTACCACTTTTCACTTGACTCCTGTTTCATCATCCTTCCACACACTGATCTCTTCAGATGCTCTCTAAACCTTTGGTTTGCTTTCTGAAGGGGAAAGGACTTGTCCTGGAGGAGGAGCAGAGCCAGGCTGCTGAGGAGAGTGGTTGCTGTCAGCTGGCAAGACTGGAGGGACACGGAGGCCAGAGGGGGGGACACTGGGTGAGGAGATGTTCACACTCATCTCCATCCACTGCGAGTTTTCTCAGGCCAAACACACCTGCACTCCTGTTTGTACTGTTTGCTGTACTTGATAAACTGATATATGTGAGTTTCGGGATTTTTGTTACCTTTTTGTATTCTGAAGAGAACTAAAGATGGTTCACATTCTTTTTTTTTTTGTTCCTTCTGCAGTGCAGGCGATGCAGGCAGGGATGGAACAGCAGCATCTTTATACTTGTCAAGTCTCCATCCACACCCAAGGCTCAGCCTGAAGCTCAAAGTGATTTTGTTGCAGGCTTTGAACACTACACCAGCAGGGAGAACAAGAAGCTCAGTGGAGATTTTGCTCCAGAAAAACTGTATCCATGGTCCAAAAGCTAAATATGGAACCATGGAAGTGCACACTGCAGTGGTAGTGGAGCTGGGAATGCTGAATGGTGAGGTTTCCTGTCCTTCTGGCACGAGGAACCAGGCGTTCTCTGGTTCTCCATGGTCTTCCATGAGGACCTCTGGTTCCCCATGGTCCTCCATGAGGATCTCTGGTTCTCCATTGTCCTCCATGAGGATCTCTGGCTCTCCATGAGGATCCGTGGTTCCCCATGGTTCCCCCCAGGGCTGTGCTGGTGCTTGCCCAGAGCTTGCTGTGACAGCAGGCAGCAGTTTCAGGTGGGGCTGCTCTGCTGGCAGGGCCTTGGTGTTCCCAGCAGGGCAGGGCAGGGATGCTCCTGTCCCAGCAGGACACTGGGCATGCAGGTACCACCCCACAGCAGCTGCTCCTCCTCTGCATCACTTCCAGGGGCAAAAGTCCTGTCCTGCTGCGTGGCATGGAGCCCTGCAGAGCCAGCATGGAGGGGACAGGCTGGGCAGCACTGGTTTAATCGTTTTTGCCTGTTCTTGCCATGGAAGCTGTGTACTGGGTGAGATGTGTGTGTTTGGGGAGGGCTGGCCCGACCATTAGCTTGTCAGGGTTTGCAACACTGGCAGCTGGGGAGAAAACTGTTATTAAGTGTAACGTGGCACCTTGGAGATGGAAGCAGGGGGAGACAATAAATACAGCCTTCCATAATGCCATTTTATGGTGTCACTCTTCAGAATTTATTAAGACTTAGTTGCAGCCATGCCTGCAGCCTCCTGTGCTGGAATCCGTAAATTGTGTTCATTTTCTCCAGCACTTGCTCTGACCTGCTGTGTTTTACAAGGGGGGAGACACTGGAGGCGTGGGGACACCCCAGCTGCTTTCTGTAGCCGTTCCCCTGGTGCCAATCCAGCTTTTCTGGGGTTGCTGGGACACCCCAGGCAGTGCTTGGCTGCATGGATGGACCCCAAGTGTGATTTGATGGTTGAAGAGAACACTGAGGGACTGAGGAGCTGCCAAAATCACCACAGCTCCACAGGGAGCAGGGAAGGAGCTGGGCGAGGAGGGAGCCATGGGCACCTTGGAGCACACTGGCACATTGTCACTCCACTGTGGGACCACTCCAGAAGTCTTGGATGTGCTGAGGATGCTGGAGGTGGAAAAGGGTTCACAGGAGCTCCCTGAACTGCAGACAGGGAGATGCTACACCCCTGCTTGGTGTCCTCTTGCACCAGTGTTTTCAGATGAAAACACAAATGAAATCGTGCTCCTTTCGCCCACTTTTTGTCATGACAAATCTCAGCAGCAGCATGTTGTGTACCTTCATCCTTATCCTCAGCATTTAGGCCCAGGATGGAGGAAAACAAGTTCAAGCCCAACCTCCTGATAATTTATTATGCTCCTTATGCTTAAGGAAAAAATTTAAGTTGCCAAAAGCAGATGTTTGCATGCTCTTTTTTTAGCTCTCAAAGTACTTTCTGTGTGCTTGATTGATGGACGTCCCTGTTACATTAATAGCTGGGCTTTGCAGAGAGCTGGTATTACCAGGAGAATCTGGTGTGGGTTTCAGTTTTTCTTCTTGCATTGAAAATCCATTATTAATGTCTTTCTGAGGGAAAAAAAAAGGTTTCAATTCAGGCATTTTGCTTTGCTTTCTCAGGCTTCTTCTCAACTGTCTTTACAGAGGTGCTTTTAAAATCAATATTACAATTGTTCTTTATATTTTACTGAGTGGTTGAAGGTTTCTGCATCTTGCTATTGATTTCTGATTGTACTGCAGGACATGTAGGTGCACACAGGTTGTTCTGTGATGGATAACTTCATATGTGTCTTCCCAATCATCACTGAGTTGCCTTCTGCATGTTCCCTGTTGCTGGATGCGGCTGCTGAGCTTGGAAGGCACCAGGAGAGCTCTGAGGGCAATCCTGAGACACCAAACTTGTGACTGCTCATTTAATTTGGGTTTGGTTTTCAATCAGACACAGGGGTCACATGAGGCTTGTGGGGTCTCCTCTTTTGTGTAGTCTTTGCAGAGTTCTTCTGCCCTGGCTTTTCCGGCAGCTTTGTGTTCTGTGATGTAGGAGCAAAACAAGTCATTGTCCTGGCTTTGTGTGGAGTGGTCATAAGGCACCTTTAGCTTCCAGCACTGACCTTGGCCCTTGGGGCAGCTCTGCAGGCAGATCTCAGCATTTCAGAGGTGCAGAGTCATTGGATCCCAGAATGGTTTGGGTTGGAAGGGAGCCTTGAACTCATCCAATTCCAATCCCCTGCCATGGCAGGGACACCTTCCACCATCGCAGGCTGCTCCAAGCCCCAATGTCCAGCCTGGCCCTGGGCACTGCCAGGGATCCAGGGGCAGCCCCAGTTGCTCTGGGCACCCTGTGCCTGGGCCTGCCCACCCTGCCAGGGAACAATTCCTAATTCCCAATATCCCATCCATCCCTGCCCTCTGGCAGTGGAAACCATTCCCTGTGTCCTGGCACTCCAGGCCCCTGTAAAGGTTCAAGTCTCAATGGAGCAATGCAGAAGCCCAGTGTGCATTGGTAGCTGCTGTAAAGCTGGATTTGCAGACTGAGGCTCTTGGAGCACATCAGCACTGATAGCACAATCTGTGTGAGAGCTTGTTGGCACCAAAGGAACCTGTGAGGAGTGACAGGACTGTGGCCAGCACGGGGGCTCCAAAATGCTTCTGTGGCTCCCGGTGGGCATGCAGGGGAAGAGCTCTATGTGTGGGCACAGTCCTTCCCAGCTCTGCATGCCCTGGCACAGGCTCCACATCTGCCAGGGACTGTGGCTGTGCCAACAGGCACTCTGGAGAGGGCTGGGTGTGCACAAACCTCTGCTGGCTGGACTGGGCTGTTTGCTCCTCAGGCTTATCCTGGACAGGCTCCTGCACCTTCAGACATGCAGGCTACACCTGGCTTCTGAGGAATTGGTTGTGGCAGTTTGTCTGTCTGTGCTGGGGACCAGGACAAACACTGGCACAGGAGCTGGTCCTGTGTCCCCGGGATAGCAGGGCTCGGTGGTGGCAGCGCTGGCAGGGACATGGCAGCCCAGCCCTGCCTGGCCCTGCAGAGCCGGGGAGGGGACAGGGCTGGCACGCATACCAATGGGCAGGCTCTGACACTGCCGCTGGAACTCACTTAGCAATTCTGTTGATGTTCTGGAAACGAAAATATAATTCAGGCCACCTTCTCCTCCAAGCTGACCCTGAGAATCTGGGAGAAGAGCTACTGAATAATTAGGGGCTTTTTTTTCTCCCCCCTTTTTGCTGGAGTTACTGCTCAGTGTTAAACTGTCCTCTATAGTGTCATCAGTTCCCTTGAACTTACTGCTCCGAGTGTACTTAGCATTAATATAATTACATAAATTGCAGTCTCATTAATCACCGGGGGCTGCGGCACATCCTTGTTGTGCTGTTTCCCGAGTGGCTCAGCTGGTGGGAACCCCCTGGCCAGGGGTGGAAGCTGTGGCTGGAGCACTCCCCCTCTGCTCCTGAGCCTGGTTTAGCTGAGCTTTGTGTGTCTCACCCTGCTGGATCTGGAGTGTTTGCCAGCACTGCCATGATTGCAGCCTTGCTGCCGCAGAGGAGAAAAGGGAAAGGTGGGTTTGTCCCAAGGGAGTTTGGCTGGACCATATCCCTGCTGCTGTCCCTGTGATTTGGGTCTGTGGGGTCCCAAAATGCAGAGCCCAGCCTCGTGGCTTGGCAGTGAACACCCAGAGCCCGAGCTCTGTGCCGAGTCTGCTGCAGGGCTGTTTGATGATGCTGTGCTTCTGTCTCTGTGGCAGAGCTCTCAGCCTTCCTGGCGATGTAAACTCTTCTGGCTGCTAAAATTACACTGAGTTATTGATTTATCTTTGAGAGGATTTCCTTCCCGAGGGACATTTCTGGCTGTTGAAGTGATTTAGTTCTTCTGCAAGGGCAGAATCCATGGCAGAGCAGAGCCACACTCCTGCCCTCAAGCCTGCAGCTCAGGGTCGCGCTCCCTCAGGCTTCCTCTGCAAGCTGATTTCTGTTCCAAGGCTGAGACAAGGTTACATGGCTGTTATTTCCGTGTAACAACTGCAAATAAAAGGGCATTTTCAACTTTCCACTGCAGA